GGGAGGGGAGGGAGGGAGGGACGTACTGGTTGAGCGACGAAGGAGGGGGAAGTGTTGTATGCATTGTGTGGGTTGCATAGTGGGGTGAGGTGGGGTGAGGTGAGGTGATGAATGAATGAATCCCCTGTTGACTATGAATTGTCGATTACAGTCTACTCATCACAATGATGCCACACCACACGGAGATAAGCGAGTGAATCGATAACACGTGCTCACATCCCTCTCTCTCTCATGCTACTCATCTCCCTCATCATACTCCTCACTCTTCCCCTCCTAATCCCTCAATTCACTCAACCATGGCAACTCTCTCAAAAGGCACAAGGATGTGCAATGTCTTGGATGTCTCCTTCTTACCATCTTGTACACTTAAATACAACCCATTCGAAGTACAGGTTATGGCTATATAGAGAAGTAGGATGGGATGCTGATGTCGTACGTCCCCTCACTGCCTCCCCCACCCCCACTCCCACTCACTCGCTAACGCTCGCTCGTCAGCCTACAGGCCATCCCGTCCTCTTCCTCCCAGGCAACGCAGGCTCATTCAAACAATCCCGCTCCATAGCCTCCTCCTCCACACGTCAATACTTCCTTTCCCCCTTCACGCGCTCCCCCCACTTCCCCTCTTCCTCGAAACAGCTGGACGTCTACGCCCTAGACACTGCAGAAGAACTGAGCGCATTTTCTGCTTCTCTCTTGCGTGCGCAAGCGGAGTACGCAGCGCACGCTGTCCGATACCTGTCAGCCAAACATGGGACCGACGTGTTCCTCGTAGCCCATTCCATGGGAGGGATCGTCGCCCGTCTCCTGCTTCCCCAGGTCCCAGGTCTGGTAAAGACAGTCATAGCCCTGTCAACGCCGCACGTCTTCCCTCCGCTGCCGATATCCCGCGCTCTGGAACAGCTCTACGCCCCGCGGCCATTACCGAGTGACGTCCTCTTCTTAACCCTGTGTGGAGGGACACAAGACCTAGAGTTCCCAAGCGAGCTCTGCGCTTCCTGGCCCCCCCTCCCTCCCCCGCTTCCCCAAAACCCGGCCTAGCCCTCACACAATACCCGACCTCAACCCCCCTCCTCTGGACAGGAATAGGACACAAAGAGATCGTCTGGTGTCATCAGCTTAGGTACAGGGTTGCACGGGTGTTGTTGGATTTGCAGAGCGTGGGAGGGGTGCGGGAGAGAGGGAAGGTGGTGGGGAGGTGGTTTGACGAGGAGGGGGCGGGGGAGCTAGGCGAGGGGCGGACGGGGGAGGGGGAGGTGGTGCCGGCGGTGCTTGCTGCTGAGGGTGGGGATGGGGATGATGATGATGGTGATGGTGACGGAACTGGAAAAGTCCACGGACCAGGGACGTTCACCTACTTCTACCATCTCACCCTTCCTCTCTTCCCGCACGCCTGCAGCTCAAGCTCAAGCTCAAGCTCGAGCTCGAAGTGCACCCCCCTCCTCCCATCAAGGCGACGCCTCCTCCCCTCCCCTCCCCCGGGCGAGCCCTGGCCCCGCCCAGGCTATGGCGTCGCGGAGGGGGAAGGGATGGTGTACGAAGAAATTGACCTGGGGGAGGGGGAGGAACTTGGATTTCGAGCTGGAGCTGGAGCTACCGGGGAGGGGGCGGTGAGGGTGAGGGTGAGCAGGAAATGGGATTCCCAAATTATAAGCTCTGTATCCCTCTTCCGTACGTCCCTTCTTACCCAAACCCAAACCAATCGAGACACCTTCTCACCCTTCACCCTTCTGCAGGCGCGCTATTCCCTTCCCGTATCCTTATCCCCCCTGCTGCAAAAGGAGCACAGTATCTCAACTTCCTGTTTCCTAACCTGCCGGTGCACAGTCTGCTGGTGTATACGGCACAGGTCGAGTTCGACTTCCCCAGCCCGCCAGCGTTGGGCTCGCCAGTATCGGGCTCACAAGCACTCCTCTCCTCCCCCCCGGAAGGTCATTTCTCCCCCATCCCCATCCCCTTTCAAGCCTCCCAACCCGCCTATTTCCCATCACACAAAACCGGCCCTTTCCTCCCCTCCCCCCACTCCCAGGGTTTAGAGCTCGAACTCTGCCTCCCCTCCCCCCCCTCCACGTCCTCCCCCTCCCACTCCCACTCCCCATCCCAGTACCCATCCCAGTCGCCATGGCCGACCAGCATCACCCTCCGACTCTCGGTCCCAGCTTCCCTAGCCCGCGTGCTTCCTAGGTACCGGATCCTCCTCATCTCCTGGCACGCAGCCATCTCCGCCCTCCTGGCCCTCCTCCCCCTGCTCGAGGTCCCATATCCCAAACCCACGCCCTACCCCTCCCAAACGCACTCCTTCCTTCTCTTCCTCCGCTTTTTTCCGGCTCTCGCACTCCTCCTCTGGGGAGGGGCGCTCCTCCCATTCACCAACCTTTTCCTAGGCACTCGGCTCTGGCTGGCGAGCGTTCTGACCCCTATGCTTTTGGCGACTGCTACTTTGTTGGTTGCGGTTTCGTGTGTGCTCTTGGGGGCCGTTACGAGCGTTGTTGCAGCAGTACTCTGGTTGTGGTACAGGAGCTTTCCGTAAGTCCTTCCCTATCCTTCCAGCTTAACCCTAATCCTAATTTCCAGACCCCGCCCGTCCAGAAGAACCCGCTTCCGCTCGCGAGCGTACATCTCCCTCTCCCTCTCCTTCCTCTTCCTCCTGCTCTGGTTCCTCCCAGGCCAGTTCTTGCTCTTGCTCGCTTTTTTCCTTCAGGTGTTTGTTGTCGCCCGGGCGAGGACGAGCTGCTGGTCGTCCTCTTCTGCACAACCGGACTCCAACCCCCCCAACCCCAAATCCAACCCCAAATCCAACCCCAAATCTAATCCCAACCCCAAATCCAAATCTAATTCCAAAGCCAATTCCAAAGCTAAAGCCAAAGCCAAAGCACACCTATCCCAATCCTCACACACCCTCCTACTCCTCTTCTCCCTCTTACCGCTCACAGCCCCCACAGCCATAACCTGGGCTCGCGCGCTCCCTCTCTCTCTTTCCTCCTTTTCATTCTCCTCCTTCTCTCTACCAGAAGAAAGGGACCCATTAGCAGTGCTTTGCGTCCTTCAAGCTCTTTCTGCTGCTCTCTCTCCCCCTCTCTCTCAGCCGGCCTCCGCAGGCAGCAGTATGGGCCGAACAACCCAGCCCTGGCCCTGGCCCTGGTCCTGGTCCTGGTCCTTGGCCTGGGGGTGGAGGGCGCGGAGCCGGGGACGGGGGATGATAGCTCTGCTAGGAGGAGTAGCGGGGGTAGGGTTCGTATGGGGCGGAAGGTGGGCATGGGCAGTGCAGATGGGGGTGGAGGTTGTTTTGTCCCTTGGGCTGGGGCTGGGGCTGGGGCCGGGGGAGTGGGAGGGGGAGGAGGAGTGGGAGGAAGAGTGGGAGGGGGAAGGGGACAAAGTAGAGGGAGAGGGAGGGAAGGGAAGGGAAGGGAAGGGAAGAGCGAGGGAGAGGGAGAGGAGATAGATACGCACGAGC